AGATGTCATACGTATCAGGCGAGGAACTCCCATTGACAGACAGGACGAGGACTGCGAAGAGCAGCCGTGTTCCCTTCTGTGGCTGTGGGACGCGTGCTCCCCAGGCCTGTGTCTCATCTTCTCCGATGTCGTTTCTGTATTTCAAGAGCAGATCTGGCTGTGAGTCATTGGGAAGCGTGGGCTCACTTAGGACTCCAGTTCCATCGCTGTTCCACCCAGCTCGACCTTGAAGTCCACAGAGATTCTCCTCCGCCGTGGCTCCTGCAGAGCTCAGCTTCAAGGGCTGCAACCCCCTCCTCCCTTCCCTGCCGGAGAAGAACAAGGGACATCCCTCTCCCCCAAGGCACCTTCTCATTAACACCATCCTTTATGTAACATCTCTGCTGAATGCTCTGAGAACACAGTTCACCTAACATTCCCGTAAGAACCTTGCCACAGCTGGACCTTATTTTCTCTCACAGTGACACCCACATCTGTTGACTGGCACTTTCTTGGGCCATACTCTACCACTATGCTATACGATAGCTGGAGTGAGCCTCAGCATCCGTGGGTGAAGGACAGGAGAGGAGAGAAAGAATTGTAAGTTCCAATCAACCGTGCATGACATTTTCCTTGAGTCCTATCTTCCGGGAGTTACCACAACGTTTATTTTCTTGCCCAGGTTCTGTGTTGAATAGCAGTAGTTAAAATTTAATGAGCAACTACTCTGTACCAAGTACCTTACAGAAGTGATTTCCAATAACCCTCAAAGTTTGGCAGGGTAGGTTATTGTGGTAGTCATACGGAAATGACCCGTCAGCTGTCAGCTCCTGCAGAGAGCTGGCTTGCTGAAGGCAAAAACCAGTGACTAAGTGAGGTGGGCATAAAGAGGCCCAATGTGGAACATTCCACCGGCGATGCTTAAGTTCCTGAGCTTTGGAGACTTGGAGCTTTATTTGATCTTCGTCAAAGTTCAATTTCTTCCTGACCAATGTGGCATCGTCTCCCTCCCTTCCAGGTGTTGTTCCTCAATAAACACCTTGTACCTTAAACTCCATCTCAGGGTGTGCTTCTAGTTCTGTTTCCTACTCTTTCAAAAGGAGAAGGACCTCCTAGGGGTTATTAGGTAGATAACACAAGATTTTGCCTGTTTGAGAACTTTTCACAAGGCCTGGCATATGGAATGTACTCTGTAAATGCTGGCCCTTGTATTATTTCCCAAAATCTCATTGCTAGGAAGTGTTGTGTACAGGAAACCAGGACAGGAATCCTGCCAACCCTAGCCCTTGTGTGGGTTGGAACTAGTTGGTTTGAAACTCCTACTTTTTATTATACTGTTCTGTTTTATGGTTATTTGCCTATTGCTTTATCTCTGCCTTCTAGATACTAAAGTCTCAGAACAGGGATTTTTCCATATTCACCCCCAACCTTGAAGGCCTAGCAGGGGCCTTAATACAGAGGGCCAGGCTCCAGGGTTGTTCAGTGAATGGCTGTGTGACCAACGAAACCTCCAACTCTCTTACACTTCTGGGGAGCCTGAAAAAAAATTTATATTACTTAATATGCCCAGACTTTGCTCAGTTTCTGGGATTTCCTGTCCTCTCTATACCTGTGTATAGGAATCTATAGCTAATAATAAACCTACAGCAGATGAGAAAGAGACCGTGTTGGCCCAGGTTGCAGGGTTTGGAGTTACAGATGAGAGCTGGAAGTCACCCTGCACACAGCTCAGACTCCTCTATGACATTGGATCCTGGGGGTGCCGGCCTGGGCCTTTTGCTGCCCTCAGCATGGACCCCTTGTTCTGCTGCGAGGGTAAGCAGGGGACTTCCCCTGTTCTAGCAACTTCTACCTATATAAAAAGGCTTCCTGATGGGTTTCTCACTCACTTTCCTGAGCCAATTCTTGGATGTAAGACTGGGAGGATTTGTCCAAATTCTGAAAACTTGGATCATAGAGTTTCTGCAGAACAGACTCTAGCTACTAATCCGAAAACCGCTGTCTTAATGGAGAGCCACACACTCATGCAATGAGAAAGGTCAGCTTTGGAGAGCCAATCTCCTCCTCTTCCCAAGATTCTCCCTCGACACAAGAAGAGATGGGAATTCACTAAAATCCTCATCCAAATTTTGAGAAACTCTATTTTTCCTTTCTCCATGTCTACTTCTTTCCATTTATGAGGAAAAAACTTAAGCAGAACTGCTGAATGTCTTGCTCCTTCCCAGGAGAATTACATCTTGAGGCTGGGATGTAGCTGAGTGATAGAGTACTTGCCTAGCAGGTGCAAGGCCCTGGGTACAATTCCCAGAACCCAAACAGAACAACAGAAATTCTTCAAAAAGGAACCCAAAGAGGGTAATAGCTAACCTAATGGTTTTAATGGTGGAATTTTAGACACAGTGACACTTTCCCACCCCAGCAATTGCCTGCACTGTGTATTAAAGGAAGACCTGGCTTCTGGTTTAGCCGCCATGTTTTCCTTCAAGAGTGTGAGATACTGGACATACTGGGTAATGGTATTATTTTGAGCTAAACTCTTTGGGCCAATGTTGATCACATAACTTGATAATATAATTATAGGAAACAGAGTAGAGAGAAATTAAGGCATAAACTACAAACAAATGGAGAAAATAATTTTTTTTTCATGTGAAAATTAAAGTACAATGGAAATATAAGGTAGGATGCAGTTTGAATGGCAAGAACCCTGGCTAGTTAGGGAGCTTCCTCAGGAAGTGGGAGGATAAGCCATGGATGTTGTGTGGGAATGGTTCCAAAGTTTTCTTTTATAACTTATTTTTTCCCCTTAATTATAAAACAGTACTGTTTGTCATACAAATTTTGATAAACAGGTAATTATAGAGATGAAAATTAAGAGCCATCTACAAAAGTTCTACTCCCTGGTGTCAGCCATTCTTTACATTTTTGAAATGTTCCCTAATGGCCTTTAGAAATTATACACCATATGTTATTTTTTCCACAGAAAAGCTTTGGCTTATGAAGTTGTCCATGTTAGTATGTAAATAATAGTAAATAGCATACTGACCACCTTTTGATGTATAGGCCTGTTCTAACAATATCACATGATTTATCCTCTAGACATGGGTAATATCTATGAGGACATGCTAATTTGTGTCTGTGGGTTTATTGTACTTAGCATAATTGCCAAAATCTCTAATAATTCTGATAGTTCATATGATAATTTTCTACCTCAAAAAATTGTTTTGCCCTAGGGGTACAGCTCAGTGGTAGAGTGCTTGCTAGTGTGTGCAAGGCCCTGGGTTTAGATCCCAGCAATGGAAAAATAAAACAAACCCAGAAAACCCACACCCACAAAAACAGCCATTTTACTTGTGACTAATGACAAGGTTATCTCTTCCTTTTAAATCCTTTTACCTCTGATTTCCCTTTTCTTGTCTTACTCTGTTTGATGACATTTCCCATAGAACAAAGTTAAATAGGACTCGAGACAAAGGACAGGTATCTTGTAAAGCTTCTAATGTTTTAAACAAGAGTCATTCATAATAAAAACTATTCACCTACTACAAATGGAAAATACTTTCCTAAACTGGATGAAGAGCTTCTAACCAAGTCTATTGAGAACATCCTGATTTTGAAGCATATTGCCTAGGTTTAGGAAGATAAATTTGTACTAATATGGATAAATGAATACATATTAATATTAATTAATTAATAAGCATTATTATTGGAGAACGTATAGAGACCAAAAGTTAAGGGATATGAGATTAATAGTGCACATGTACTAAAATGG